CGGGGGTATGAAATTTACCTCGATCGGCGGTCGGAAATTTCCCCGGTGCGGCGGCGAGTGGCGGCGGGTGGCGGCGGTCGGCCTCTGGTTCGTCTTCTCCGGCGAGCGGCTGGCGGTTAGGGTTTGTGGTCTGGTGTGGGGGTTCTATTTATAACCCCTTGCCTTTTGATCACAGCCGTTCATTTCGTTTTAATCTGGGCCGTTCGTTTTTGATTGAATCTGGGCCGTCCGTGCGTTTGAATCTGGGCCGTCCGATCGCGCGATTGATCTGGGCCGTCGGATCGCACCCACGCGGATCGCCAACGTGGCTCCTTTCGGAGTGACGCGATCTTGCCACGTGGCAGGCCCTGGTTGGCCGGGACTGCTGACCGGGCCTGCTGACGTGGCTGCTGACGTGGCCCCCCTTTTTTTTTTTTTTTTTTTTTTTTTTTTCCTCCTTTCCGGGGGCTACACAAGTTACCGTCTTATTTTACTTTATTATCTTGTATAACTTTTACATTATATATTCCTTCTATTTCTCTGCTTGCTAGGGTTCTTGGGGGTTGGGGGATGTAAAAAGTGGCCAAAATTGTTCTAAGACTAGAGACCAAGTCACCTGTAACCAGCACCGAAGTGAGCCAGGATGGATGCTATATAACCACTGCAGATGGATCTACCGTTAATTATTTTAGCAACACTTTTTAAATTTATAATATAAGCTACAGACACTCTAAATACCTACGTCAAACACTTACATAGTATATTATATATAAAGAACTTTTATTAAGTTTGTCTATGCAGAGAGTTGAATGTGGCACATTGAAATTTGTGGAGTAATTCATTAACTACTCCCATTTGCCAGTTAAGGTGAGCCCTGCAGCCTTCCACCCTGCTTGATTTATTGGTATATCAATCTCCTCCAGATTCAGTTGTTTGAAGGCTTTGATCTTCCAATACTTTTCTTCATCACAACAATGGCTGCATCCATGGTTGGTGGAGCTTTCATCTCAGCTTTCCTCCAGGTTCTGTTTGATCGGATGGCTTCCCCTGAGGTTTTAATCTTCTTTCACTGCAGGAAACTCAACAATGATTTGCTCAAGAAGTTGAATCTCACTCTGCTTTCCCTTAGTCCCGTGCTCGATGATGCTGAAGAGAAGCAGATAACCCACCCAGCAGTCAAAAAATGGCTTGATGAACTCAAAGATGCAGTATACATTGCAGAGGACCTAAGCTTCACGGTGCTTGTTGGAAGCTCAAGACAAAGCAGATTCAAGCCAGGTATGGAGTATCCTTCCATCTATTCCCACTTCCATTGACAAGGAGTTAGAATCACGTTTAGAAGAGACACTTGGCACACTATAGTATATGGCTAACCAGAAGGATGTACTCAGTTTGAGAGGTGTTGGTCGAAAACTAATTACAGGTTTTCCAACGAATTCTCTGGTTGATGATTCTTACGTATTTGGTAGAGATAAGGAGAAGGAGGCAATCATTAACTCGTTGCTCTCTGATGATGCAAGACACTGCAAGATAGGTGTGGTTGCTATCGTGGGCATGGGTGGTGTTGGCATGACCACCCTGGCTCAGCTGGCATATAATGATTGTGCAGTGGATAATTTTTTTGACATCAAATCCTGGGTATGTGTTTCACAAGAATTTGATATATGTAGGATTACTAAAACAGTGGTTGAGACAATTTCTCCAGGGATTTTGGATATCAAGGATCTTAATCTGCTTCAAGTTAAACTGAATGAGACTTTGAAAGGGAAGAAATTTCTCATTGTTCTCGATGATGTTTGGAATGAGAATTATGATAACTGGGACTCCTTAAGGAAACCTTTCTCATCTGGAGCTCAAGGAAGTAAGATCATTGTGACAACACGAAATGAAGGTGCTGCATCAATGATGCAAACTACTCCCACTCGCCATCTGAAGCAATTATCAGGAAATGATTCATGGCTGCTGTTTGTGAAACATGCCCTTGACAACAGAGATTCAGAAGCATATCCAAATCTTGAAGCAGTTGGCAGGCAAATTGTCAAGAAGTGAAGACACTAGGCAGTCTACTGCGTTCCAAACAAAGTCTCGAGGAATGGAATGAGATTGTTGAAAGCGACATCTGGGATTGACAAGATGATACAAGCGACATTCTTCCAGCTCTGAGATTGAGCTATCTTTTTCTCTCATCAAATCTAAAGCAGTGTTTTGCTTACTGTGCGACATTCCCCAAGGACTACAAGTTCAATAAGGAGGAATTAATATTAATGTGGATGGCAGAAAATCTTTTACATCGGCCTAAAGGAAAGAAGAAGATGGAAAATATAGGGGATGAGTACTTCAATCATCTGACATCAAGGTCCTTTTTTCAAAAATAAACTCGAGATAAATCTCGATTCATTATGCATGACCTTATTCATGATTTAGCCAAATCTGTGTCAGGGGAATTCTGTCAGAGTTGTGAGAGTGAACCGTCACATAAAGTTGGCAGGAAGACTAGATAAAAGTCTTTTTCGAGGGAATATCATGATATGATAAGTTAAAGAACTTGAGACATTTTACGAAGCCAAGTACTTACGCACCCTCCTTCCGTTTTC